ACGCGCCACGTCAGCTGCACTTTACACATCCTCAGGGCGACCGAATGAATGAATGGCACAACGGAGGTCGTCACCCATCGAAGCTCGCGCTCCAAGCTTCCACGCACTGTCACTCAAGGAGCCGACATGACGACAAACCTCTTCGCCGGACACACCTTCCACCATACACTGCACGGTGTCGTCATCACTCAACGGCCTGAGAAGGAGACGATGTCAAGGGGATGGCGAGGAAAACAACATATCCACTGCCTAGCCATCGTGTTGGGGATGATGTGTGCCGCCTAGTCGTCGTCCCTCGCCGGAATACGAATTTTGAATTTTGAACGGGAACATTCTCACCTTTTTTTTTTTTTTTGCGACCCCCCACGTATTCATGCCCGTCGCCTGTGGACTAACATGCCTCTTGCACGGACGTCCCAAACCGCACCACAGACACACCTCCTGCGGCCACGTATAATCGTATAAAATTGGCCGCGCTAAGTCTCGGAGGATTCGTCCTCAGAGCCATTCCCCGAGGATAGGCGGAATGACGCCGCCAAAAATCCAGAATGTCCTCGAGGATGCCCTAAGGAGTGTCTAACGAGGCCCTTAATTCAGAAAACAAAAAAGGAATTTGTGGTAACCTCCCAAGGTTACCGCAAATTCCCAACCCCACGGCTCCTCAGACCTCTGACAAACGGGTTCACGAATGCGTAGTTTGCGAAAATGGGAACTGGGTGTGACTGCCCCTGGACACTATTTTTTGGGGATTTGGGGGACTATGCGGATTTGGTACCGCAGTGTCAGCGTGTCCTGAGAAAAAACAAAGGGCCTCACTTCACTATTGACTTACCGTGAAAGCAGGGGTGCGCAGCCCATAGCTCGTTTGTTGATGCAGTTGGGAAGGGGTGAGGTAGTGATTATGGTGTGAGTATGTTTTGCTAGTATGTTTGTTGTACACAACTCGAAGAGTGCGTGTGGGGGTTTCAGCTGATGCTTGATTAACGATGTCCATGGGACCCTGGACCCAGTTCATGTGACGCCCCCCACCAATAGACAACAAAATATGTGTGTGTGTGTGTGTGTAAGTAAAAGAGAGAGAGAGAGAGAGAGAGAGAGAGAGAGAGAGAGAGAGAGAGAGAGAGAGAGAGAGAGAGAGAGAGAGAGAGAGAGAGAGAGAACCCTGCAACATGCACCATGTCATTGGCGGGGAGCACAAGGGCAGGCACTGACCTCCAAAAAAAAAAAAAAAACGTAATATGCGATTGGAACATAAATGTTTTTCCTTTTCGAAATCCGAGTAGAAAGGGTACATGTTGTATTCAAACACAATGCGCACGTGTTCTATTCGAACTGCACTTCTATTTGAGAAAAGTGGACCCACACCGTTTCAATTTCCGAATGTTCAAAACTCAAGGACCAGCCTCCTCCACCTCCTATGGGCAGCTACTGGTCCTTCGCATGCCCTGCCCCTTGCTAAGCCCCGAACCTGGGGTCCTGGTTGGTGCTTTATTCATGATGTTCATGGGACGCTGGACCCAGTTTCCAGCAGGCGGCGCTTCCCATCAATAGACAGGAGAATGCATGTGTGTGTGTGTGTGTGTGTGTGTGTGTGTGTGTGTGTGAGTGTGTGAGAGAGAGAGAGAGAGGTGGAGAGCGAGAGAGAGTGTGTGTGCGCGTGGGTGTGCGCAGTGGGTGTGTGTAGCACGCTACCCCATATACAGTGGGGAACCGGACCATGTATCCATCCAATCGTAAACAATCAACAAGTTAGTATCAGGCACAACACAAATTGTGTTTAAGAGGGGAAATTATATTTAGTCATCACCTCCATACTGGAGGATTCAGTTTTCAACATCAATTAGGGGGGAGCAGATTAGAGGTTAGGCTGAGGTTAGGGATGGCTGCTGAAGACAGCCATAGGGGGGGTGCACACCCTGAAGCGCGCTTTTCGCTGCTTAGCACCCATAGCAGCTCATCAGAGGGACAACCTCTGGCTCCCGTTAAGGGGTTAAGTATGTGTGTTAGTATTGGTGGAAGGCTTCGAGGAGGGAGGGAGTCAATAGGTATTTTGTTTGTTAGGCAGATACAATGCGGTAAAAGTATGTAGAACCATACTTTAGTGCATAGCGCTTCTGCAAAGGACGACGTATCTTCGATGGTAGTCATCGGGTCCTCTAGAGATCAGTTGCCACGTGTCACCGTACGTAGCACCGAGGGCGCGTCTTCAATTGCGCAGTTAGGATTTCATGGTCTAGTCAAGAGTGTGTCTGGAACAACAGTTGCGTAGGACCGCGTTGCTTAGAAAGCGTTACGAGCTTGGAGGCGTGCGAACAGGGATTCAGTGAGAGTATTAAATACCAGTTCAACATGGAGCCCGACTATGTGCAGCAGAAAGGGCTTGTAGAGCTGTACGCGCAATTGGTTATATAAGGATCAATACCAGGCCACGAAGATGCATATAGGAGATGCGGGGTAGCCTGGTAGTGATCGTGCATAAAGGTAGTTTGTGTATTTCGTAAAATAGAAGGGGGTTGCGTAGGGTAGATATGGGCGGAGGGGGGTGCATCCATTGTGGTCATTGGTATGGTAGCGTGTTTTTTTCTTTTTTAATTCAGTATGTAGAGTTGTTTTAGTAGGAATGTGGTTTTTTATTTTTACGTAATCTGTCTATCTCGTGTGTTATGACCACGTTTTTTATGGAAGAAGGTAGGAAGTTGGAGGTGGTATGAGGTTTTTTCTTTATGTCGTGTTATTTCGTTTAGTTTGTCTTATGTTATGGTGGTTTGCAGGCTATGGCGTGCGTTCTCAGATTGTAGGATAGGGACATGTTGTGGGCACATGTTTTTGGTGGTATTTGCTGGTTGTCGTATTGAATAAATGTTGTCTATATTTTTGTTTGGAAGCGTCGTTTCAGGTTTTAGTTTGTCTTGTGTTGCATTGCTTTGCAGACTAAGGTGTGCGCCTTTAGCTCGTAGGAAGGGGACATGCGTGGTCATGTGTTTTTGGCGGTATTTGTGTGCGTGTGTGTCGTTTTTGCAAAACGGCGGCGAGAGCTTAGTTTTGAATTCGACGTTTCAACTTGGTGGGTTGGGTGGCGGGCAGCTGATCGAGACAAGCTTTCAGTATGTTGTATTGTTGATATCAGTGGGTTGGGTGGCGGGCAGCTGATCAAGACAGGCTTTCAGTATGTTGTATTGTTGTTATCAGTTTTTATTTTTGTATCCCATAACTTGTTATTCGAGGAGTTGTGTTTTTCTATATATTATGGGTAGCTTGGTAGTATTTTGGTCGAAGATTCTTTTGGGTTATTTTTAATACAGTTTTAATTTTTTATTTGTTTTTTTATTTTTTATTTTTTATTTTTTATTATTTTTTATTTTTTATTATTTTTATTTTTTATTTTTTATTTTTATGTTTTATTCGTTATTATTTTATTAATAAATTATTTTTTATTTTTTATTTTTTATTATATTAAATTTTTATTTGTTTAATTTTAATTTTAATTTTTTTCTTATTTATTTATTTATTTATTATATATTTATTTATTTATTATTTTATTATATATTATCATTATTTTATTATTTTAATATTTTGTTATTTTATTATTATTAGCAAAAGGAAAACAAAAAAATAGATTGTACTTATGTGAGTGTGTACGTGTGTGTATGTGTGTGTGTGTGTGTGTGTGTGTGTGTGTGAGAGAGAGAGAGAGAGAGAGAGATGGCACGCAGATAATGAGCAAAATGGGCACATGTGACTCACTCAATCGGGCGCTGAACATGTGGGGTGTCGAATATGTCCACTTTCAGACACATCTGTTTGCACTTGCAAATGCAATGCAGGTGTGTCGTTTCAACCTGCGGCCCAGGCCACGCCCCTTCTGATTCAGACTTTTCCAATTCTCCATCCTGCCGCTGCTTTGCCACCGTTTCAACCAAAACCCAGCGCGCGGTCCCACAGGCAGCTACCGGTCCCGCATTTTTCAAAGAAACTGCCACCCCCCCCCAAAGTTCCACCCTGCCTATGCTTTTGTCACCGTTTGGACCAAAACCCAGCGCTCGGTCCCACCGGCAGCTACCGGTCCCACCCACGTGTTTCAAAGAAACTGCCACCACTCCGGACAGTGTAGTGCCTGCACCTGCCTGCATTTTTCGAACCTTCCAGCCAGTTTCAAAGAAACTGCCACCACCCCCCAAAGTGTAGTGCCTGCACCTTCCGGCATTTTTCTAAGGACCTAAAGTGTAGTGCAGGTGCTGTAGTGCCTGCAACTGCCTGTATTTTTCTAATGACCTACATTTTTCGAACCGTCAAACGAGCCCAAATCAACGACTGGTATAACGGAGGACGACGAAAATGTCTCGGGGCGAAACGCAACCCTCAAGGACTGCGAACAGGGGAGTGCATCCCCTCGGCTAGAACATGGAAAGGTGCACCGCCATAATCTATCTTTCGTGACAGTAGTAGAACGACGCCCAAACTGGGTGGAGGAGAATACTTAACACAACTGAAGCGCCCATGGTGCTGCCTAACCTAAACTTTGGAAGTC